GAGCAGCCTGCAAGCTTCAGGAGACAAAAGTACTGATGCTGAGAGTTTGAATATTGTTCATATGGATTCCTCCTCCACAGAGGGGTTTGTGCTATGGGATGTTTCGTGAGAGCTTTTTCTCCAGTGCTTGCAGAGTGCTCACGCACAGATGCTCTCGGCTTCTTGAGGTGGCTCTTGGAATGTCCTGTCGAGGGTCCCAAGGTCCCCCCACAGCCCTCCCTCGGCTCAGTGCAGAAGGAATACAAGAGCTGCAAGGGTGGAAGCGGGTGGGATGATGCGGTGAGGAGTGGGGTTGGCCCCGTATCCCTTCAGCGAGGAGCGAGCACTGGCAGCAGAGATGTCACCAAAGGAGGAGGACAGGGCTGAGATTCTCCAAACCCCCCGAAGAGCAGAACCTGTACAGTGAATCTCTTGGCTGTTGCAGCCATGTGGTATTTGCAAATATTTTGCATTCCTGTCCAGGGATGGCAGGCGGAGAGGTGTGCAGCTCCTGGCCCCGCAGAACAGCAGTGAACCCATGCAGATACCGCACATGAGCAACTCGCAGGTCTGCTCGTCTCTCCTGCACCGACTGTCAGAGCAGGGTAATCTGTGGGCTCGGGCTTTGAGTTCTGGCCGTGTTTGCTTCATTAATCAATTACAGCAATCTTTTTTGACAGATATTTTTTCTTAATAGACTTTGATGTGCCCAAACCCCTATGAATAATACTAAATGAAGAACAAATGTGCAGTGGTCCCGCTGCCAGATACAACATTTCTGAGGTTTAATGCAGATTGGATTTGAATCTGACTATTAAAATATGTTACATATGGATCTTTTTAAAAATTAAACAGTTACATAGAATATAATGAGAAGGTAGAGATGGACTTTCCTGAATCCAGACCTACGCTGAAAATGTATAAATCTGGGCAGTGCTCGGTGGGTAAAGCAGATTCGTGGCAAGGCACCGAGTGGCACGTGAACAAGAACATACGGGTACAGACAGCAGGTCCTGCTCTTACTGTCTTTTCCAATGGTTTTATCCCCACGTCATCTGGCTTAATGGCTTTTCAGGTCTCCCAGGCGTGTGCCATAGCTGTCCTGGCCCAGGTGTCCCCTGGCTTGCACGATGCTAAGGGTGACCGGTGGCACCCAGGAGCACAGAGCCTTGCAGCGGGCACCCCGTCCCCCGGGAGTGGAGATCCCAGTCATGGCTGGAGTCCCCAGCGGAGCGATGCCAGGTGACCCCGGGCTGTCCTGTGCTGTGTTCATTCAACCCCCCCGAAAAGACTCAAAGTCAGAGCTTGGCACAAAACGTGCAACTTTAGGTGCACTTCCTCGCATCTGGAAAAAAGCAATCTGCTTTGAAACACAGGGAAAAAAAGAGTTCTGCTGGAATTCTGCCCTCAAATCACTAAAATAAGTTTGGGGTTGTCCTTGAAAGGGTTTTGAGAGTTTTACCCCAAGTGGCCTTTCCAGTAATGTGGAGCACATGTCGTTCTTTCCTCCGGGTTTTACTCTACCGATAAACTTTTCCATCATCCTGGGCAATGATGTCTTGAAAGTCTTTTGACTTGTGACTACAGCAATTCTTGCTAGAGGCCCTGAAACGTGAGAGCATAAGCAAAATGCTGTAATCTGTGCATATCCTGTAATTACATTGAGTTTATTTAGGTGCAATCTTTGTCTTTAAGGCAGGGAGGCTTGCAGTGCCGGAGAACGTGGAAGGCACGGACCAGCTGATGAGTTCTCCTCTCCTTCTGAATCTGTTGTGGCTTGTCAGTTGAGCTTGTGGAAAAGCCCTCCTCAGAGACCAGGAATGTAATCAATCCTCCTTATTAACACTTTGATTAATGCCATGGCTGCAGGGAATAGCTGCCCTCACAGCTGAAGGAGCTGGAAGTGGAAAGAGCTGCTTGCTCACCATTAGCAGAGGTGACACGGAATGGGATGCTGGTGCATCACCCATGAAATAATACTTTAAAAAAGCAGATTTTGGTTATTGGTCAGTTACACTAGACAAGTCTGTCCTTAAAAACAAGTGTCTATAGAGGAGGATGTAAATTTGGTGACATTTAAACTTGCATTCTAAACAACGCAGCGCTGTGTCTCTGTCAGACCTGGTGATGGTGGGACCCGTGGGGATGTGGTGGGGCCACCAGCAGCACCCTCATCTGAAATCAGTTTCCATCATGTGGACATGACATCACTGCTGATGTGTTGGGATCTCTGGTCTTGCTTTGCTGCCGGCTGTTTGCCTGGTGTTGGTGTCACCATGGGCACTGGCCCCAGCTGTCCCTCCCCAGCAGTGGGGAGAACACCGACCCATCGGTTTCTGGAGATCCCACTGGCTTCTTGCAGTGTGAGCTCACCAGTCAAAATCCAGCCATGTGGTGCTAACAACAGGAGAGGATGTTTGTTTTCTTGACTGTTTCCATCCTGCCAGAACTGGCAGCTTTCTGGCCCGAAGGGGCTGGAAACGTGGGTTTCGGGCTGTGGGGCAGAGCACAAACTGACAGTAGATCGAGTGTCTGGGTGTGAGGATAATTGCCGCAGAAAGTAAATTGGCAGCACATGGCTGAAGCTGGAGTAGGATGCAAGTCCACCCGATCCTGGATGTTTGGATAAAATAAGGTCTGTGGGGTGAAAGGCTGGGCTTCCTCTGGCTGGCCGGAGAGGGAGAGGCACTTCCCGCAGGCAGTGGTCAGCCCCATCCCATGGGAATGGCATCCCAGTGCCACCCTGCTGGCAGAGCAGCACCCAGACCCTTCTTGCAGGGATGTGGAGGGGACGACAGTGCTCCTGGTCCCCTTGCCTTGGTCCTCTCTGGCTCTATGCCCCATGAGCGGGGGCTTTCCACCCCAACCCCCGAGCTGAGGGTGAGCTCTGAGCATCAAAGAAGGGTTGGTCCCTTTTTGTTAAGGAAGAACAACTCCTCATTTGATTAAAGGGGTATTGCTTGAGTTCTCAGAGGGCTGGTGCTGTGCAGGGAGTTTCCATGAAGACAGTTGAAAAAGCATGGCATAGGGCAGGCTTATTTCTGTGAAACGGAAAGTCTCCTCGCTGGAGAGGTGGAATTTCCCTTCCCAAGATGACCAACCTTCCTTCCTCCTGATGGGACGGGCCGCGATGCTCTTGAGACAGGAGCTCTTGGTGGGGTCGGCAGCTCCTGTCTGCCCAGCTCTGGCACAGGCATCGACTGGTGCTCTCGGGGCAGAAGGATGGGGAAAATGTCTGCCTTGTATTTCGGGAAAACAAAGGATGAGCTAATGCCCTGGCACAGAGCGGGTTCCCCTCGCGTGGGAACTCCCAGCGTGTTGTCTGAGGACTGATTTAATGGCAGAAACATGCTGAATCCTGACAGATGCTGTCAGCGGCGTCAGCCTTGAGCCGCGATGCTCGGGCAGCGTTTCACCCTCAAATGTCAGGGGTTTAAACACCTCCAAAATCTGCTGAGCCAATTTACTGAGTGAAGAGGCTGCACACACGTTGGTGTGCACTGGTGTTTATTTTTTCCTGTGATTGTAATATTGAATTGTTTGAAAGCAAAGGGATTTTCTCACTACTGCTGGAATGTGTTGAGCAGTTGTAGCTGACAGCTTTTATGTGAAATCCTTTGTGTGTCTCTTACATAAACCAGCATCTTTATTAAGGGACCTTAAATAATCCTGGTGTGTGAAAGAGGAAAAAACAATCTTAGGATAAAGGGGAAAAAATGGAAATGGGAACTTTAAAGTGGTGTTTTCCTTTGTCGGGGTAACTTGAACAGTTTGTTCTCATCAAAGATAAATAGGAGCTGTGCTGAAATGGTGCCAGTGTGGGTTGGTTTGGGACAAAACAGAAAATGTTGTTGATAAAGAGTGAACTTACATATACTATGTAATTTTATCTGATAGCATCAGTTTCAGTGATGACTTTGTTAGCAGAGGTAAGCAAACAGCCTGTTTGTGT